AGAAAAATTTTAAAAAAATAAAAATTTACCGTAGTATATTGCAAGACGTTTTTAATAAAAATGCAAGGTCGAGCAGATATGTTTTACACTACCTTTTCATGTTACTTATTATAAAACGCAGATTGTGTGTATGTGTGTGTATGTGAGTGTGTGTGTGTGTGTGTGTGTTCGTTTATATATGGGATCGGATTTCCTACATTTTTCAACCGATTTCAACAAAACTTCACTTTTTTTGGCAGGTAGTGTTTCTTATTGTCTTGCACACTTTTTCCTTTATTTTTACATTCAGAATGCTTTAAAAATTGCATTTACAAGACAATTGTTTATAATAAAATTCTATTCAATCGATAGACTCATAACGATTGAAAACAATGTTTTTGTTTGAGTTTGGGTCTGACCAATTCGTAAAAAAAAAAAAACTAATTAAGACATGCATGTCCGTCAACCTTAAACAATAATCTTTGTCAATTTTATTTTTCAGTCTTTATGATGATCGATACTTACTGTTACATACCCCGGGCAACGCCGGGCTCTACTGCTAGTATATATATATATATATATATATATATATATATTAAAATTTGTATATTTAGGCAACAAATTCTCTTTTTAGACATGTCTGATTGAATAAATTGCAGATATTATGTCTGCTAATTTTTAATAAAATGATCGAAACTACTTCGGAAATGAAAATAAAGGAAATGTAAACAGCTATAGCACATTAAAAATTAGCAGACATAATGTCTGTAATTTATTCAATCAGACACACACACATACACACACACACACGCACATACACATACATATATATATATATATATATATATATATATATATATATATATATTGTTGGATTGATGTGAGTTTGCGACCCTGGGTTTCAGCTATTTGCGATCGTCAGAGAAACTGATTAATTTTTAAATTTTGGATTTATATATGCTTGAGTATATCGGTGCTTTTATGGTAGTGAGAAGAAAAATTGTCGTCGGAGATCCACTCATACGTACGCATGCGTACATACACGCACGTTCACACATTGCAGCTCACAAAAACATAAACATATATGAACAGTGTGGGGCTGGGCATATATGCGCATTCATGTGACGTTGTGTGCATACATACCCAATTGGTCGCTGTGTTGTATTGTGCAGCGAACTTCTTTCAAAAGTCGCAATGTCAATGCACAGACCGTTTGTCTTTTTTGTTCGCGGAATAATGTATTCTCACACAAACATATACACGTATGCAACCGCATTCAATCTTCTTCTATCTGTCTGTTCTTTTTTTTTCATCTTAAGAAAGGGTTTGTGTAAAATTATGGTATGTAAAATTGTTATTATTTTTAATTTTTTAATGCTGCTTTGTTATTATTTTAATGCCGGTTATTTACTTATTTTTGGCGATTGCGCTTATGTAAATGGTAAAACTACAATTTATAATACTTATTGGTATTTATGGTAAATATGTTAGTTCTACCAGTGATATTGAGCACTTTCCAATAAGTACCGCGCATATATGATATATAAATAATATATATATAAATTGCATATATATATATATACTCAACTGTAGGATTAGTGTATACAGAATAAATTCCAATAACCAAAAATACTATTCTTAAAAGAGTGCTCAATACAGAGCAGAGCAAATATAATTTGTAGAACCTGCATTTAACACCATCCATTGATAAGACACCAGAAGTGTTGAAACAAAATGGCTATTTTTGTAGTGATTTTATAAAATGTTTTTGTTATAATTTTCGAATGAATTTTATATATATATATATATATATATATATATATATATATATATATATATATAAAAGAGTTGAACAAAATTCGTTCTATTCTCATCAGTAATGGTTTTCCAGCTAATATTATTGATCGTATAATGGAACGGAAGATAGATAATTTTAATATGTCTCCCAAATTCGGCCCTAGTCTGTGTTCTATCTATCTAAAATTGCCTTGGCTTGGCAGAAAATGTAAAATTCTGAGTGACAGAGTTACTAGAACTGACTCTGCTACTTTCTTTTCAGCCAAGTTACGTGTTGTTTTTGGCACCCGTCCAATGTTTCCTTCATTTACTAAGGACCGTCTGTCCTATCTTAGCAAGTGTTTACTTATCAATAAGTTTAAATGTCAGTGTGAAGCTGAGTATATAGTCTTTGATTGGAAACAAGAATGGAGCATCACGTTCCTAAATATATCTGATTGCATTTAAGTAACCATACCCGTGTGTCGCAGACGGTACACGATTCGACAATCGTACAGCATCTGTTGGAGAATGAGATATGCTCGTCATGTTTCACGACGGGCTCATTCTCTATTTTGCATATAGGCATTTCCAAGCACCATTTGTTAGTTCTGGGGGCCATTTGTCTTAAATTGCAGCAACCATCTCTCTGCAGATAAAAGGATAATTTTTGCGGTTTTTAAACTTATTTGGTGATTAGTGAGCGATTCTTTACTTGTTTTATCCTCTGGTTAGTTCATTTACTTATTCTCTTAAGTTTACGTATTTATTTTAATCGTAAATCTGTTTTAGACATACCCCAGCATTATTTCCAAGATATTATTTACAGTCTAATTCTCATTACTTCAGTTGTGCCAACGACCGGTCCCTGAAGAAGCGTTGATCGAAATGTTGCCAAGGTACAAAAAAGAGAAATGAGCATAAAATTGTGTTTATTCAAATGTGTATGTTTTATTCATTTGGTCCCAAGCAAGATTTAACGACACTAAGACGTGAGGGGTTACTGGGAGAGTTGTCTTTAATAATATTTACCTTAAAGCTTTCGAAAGTTTTGATATAATCGTTTTCCGGTTATGTTAAGCTCTGTGAAATCATTCTGATGTTATTTTACGACACCCGGATATTTAAATTTAAAATGAAACGTTCCCAAAAATGCCTAGACGTAGCTATTAAAATTTTGTCTACAATACAGACAATATTTAATTCATGATAATGACTGATACGTTCAAAAGTACACAAAGAAAAAAACATACCAAAAAGATTAACTTTGAAGAATTTATCTACAATATTGATCCTACTGTACAACATCGTATCCGAAAATGTTGCTGCATATATATATATATATATATATATAGGAGACCGTTCAGAAGAGTTGCAGGAGATTTCGAAGTCGTCTCGAAGCCGTGGTTGTTTAGTAACCCTCATTTCAATTTCAAACATTTCCATAACAAAAACAATCAAATTATGTGCAAAAGTAGGCTCAGCCGACGTAATAAATTTTTTTCTCAAATTCATCCCTAATTTAAATGTTTCAAGAAATCCTATTGGCTAAAAAATAAAAAAAATACAACATTCGCCCACGCATTTCTCAGAAAAATTTGCAACAGCTACCAATTCCCGTTGAGCCGATTTGGTCGTTACAGAAACAATAAATAAAAACGGTGAACGAGTTTTCGTCGCACTTGAGACTCACACGCGCAATGATATACACGGGAAGTATGCTTCAGAGAGATGCCGAAGCAACAAACTTCCTTTATGAGAGATTAGAAAATTTTACACGACAAACTCTTTCATTCAATATCTTTCATAGAAAAAAAGTTAAATTCAACCTTTTTAATCAAAAGCAAACAACTTTCTAGACACTCATTAAACATTTCTGAAACAGCAAAGAACATTCTCTGAAATATACTTTTGCACACATCATTACAAACAAAGAAACTGTAAATTGTGTATATAAAATTTAATCTGTTGTTACAAATAAGTATTTTTGTCGTGATCGAATATCGTTACCATTTGGCCATTTGTTATGTTTGTGGATATTGCATATTTTATTTGCAGCACAATCTTAAAGATTCACGCATCCTTCTTAGATCCATAACAGTTGGAACCAATGTCGATTTTATTATTGAAGACTAGCAGCATGGCCCGGCGTTGCCCGGCGTTGCCCGGCGTTGCCCGTGCTTGATTCAAAAATCGTACGACTCATACAGCAATCGCTATCACTTGACTTAAAATTTTTTGCCCTTCCTAGTCTTTAAAGGAATGCCCTTTGCCGTGCTGATGTTGCTACATGCCTTACTTCTTGCCTATCTCACATTGCGAATTTTTCTAAGCTCTATACTAAACATTAAATCTGTTACGAAAAAGAACTAAATAAAATGAACACAAAATGATCAGCTTTAAAAAAGGACTCGTAACTGGAAAAACTGAATGAAAAAAGAATCTTAACAAATACACCCAACCCAGTTCTGTGGAATCAGAATCAACGTTGAGTTTAAGCAAACGAATGAGCTAATTGGAGTAAAGTGCCATGCAGATTTAAATTTTTCCCACTTGTGACGAATGCAGCTATCGATTTTTTTTGCATGCTAGTTAACATTCGTGTCAGTCAGCTGTTGGCTCTCACGCTGGCCAATAGAATCTTCCTGCCTATTCGTGGCAGCCATCTATTCCTCTGTCACTCTGACCAGTAAAAAATGGCCGCAAACTACATGAAAACTGTCGTAGAAGCATGAAAAAAATCGATTATTTCCACTATCGATGGAAGATGGAAAATGCAAAGTCGGTCTTGGCGTTCCCGCTAACTTGGAGCATGTGCATGTAAATTTTGGTGCAAATCCGTCGAAAATTGCGGCCGTGCATTCGTTACGCGCACACACACACACACACACACACACACATACTGCCTTTTATAGATAGAGATGCATTTACTCTTTAGTATTTCAAAATATTTTTGTGTAATGTTAGTTAGTAAATACTAAACTACCCGTGACCCTTTGGGTCACTGAGAGTTCAGGTTATAAAACACTAAAGTTGATTTCAACATTAAAATATTGTCTGTTTTAAGAAAGTTGAAATAAAAAGTACTTACTGTATAAATAACTCGTATTTTTAAATCTTACTCACTTAAAATATTTTTTAAATCACATTAACTTAAAAATATATTTTTAATATGCCAAAAAATATTTGAAAATCATATTCACTTGAAAATATCTTTTAAATATAACAAAAAAAAATTTAAATATTTAAAGAGTGGCGAAAGGAGAGGGGTGGTAAGAGAGAGGTGATAAGAGAGAGATGAAAAGAGAGAGGTGGTAAGAGAGAGGTGATAAGAGAGAGGTGAAAAGAGAGAGGTGGTAAGAGAGAGGTGATAAGAGAGAGGTGAAAAGAAAGAGGTGGTAAGAGAGAGGTGAAAAGAGAGAGAGAGAGGTAAGAGAGGAGGTGAAAAGAGAGGTGGTAAGAGAGGTGAAAAGGGGTGAAAAGAGAGAGGTGGTAAGAGAGAGAGGTGATAAAAGAGAGAGGTGATAAGAGAGAGGTGAAAGAGTGAAAAGAGAGAGGTGGTAAGAGGAAAAGAGAGAGGTGGTGGTAAGAGAGAGAGGGAAAAAGAGAGAGGTGGTAAGAGAGAGGGGAAAGAGAGAGGTGGTAAGAGAGAGGTGATAAGAGAGAGGTGTGAAAAAGAGAGAGAGAGAGGTGGTAAGAGAGAGAGAGGAGGTGATAAGAGAGAGAGAGAGGTGAAAAGAAAGAGGGTGAAAAGAGAGAGGTGGTAGAGAGAGGAGAAAAGAGGTGAGAGAGGGTGAAAAGAGAGGTGGTAAGAGAGAGAGGTGATAAGAGAGAGGTGAAAAGAGAGAGGTGGTAAGAGAGAGGTGAAAAGAGAGAGGTGGTAAGAGAGAGGTGATAAGAGAGAGGTGAAAAGAGAGAGGTGGTAAGAGAGAGGTGAAAAGAGAGAGGTGGTAAGTGAGCGGTGATAAGAGAGAGGGGAAAAGAGAGAGGTGGTAAGAGAGAGGGGAAAAGAGAGAGGTGGTAAGAGAGAGGTGATAAGAGAGAGGTGAAAAGAGAGAGAGGTGGTAAGAGAGAGGTGATAAGAGAGACGTGAAAAGAGAGGTGAAAAGAAGCTTAAATTATTAGAAGTCTAAATGGGTTAAATGCAATATTTAAGCTCTTTTCGGGAATTTAAGCTCTTCACAGCAAACAAAGTGTTTCTAGATATATACCCTTATTTTTTAATAAAAATGTGAAAATTTTATTTAAATCTTTTTTTAAGCACAAATAGCATTAATGCAGTTCCATATTTGAGATGAAAATCATTCGGTGGGACTTAAAAAAAAAAACAAAAAAAAAACACCAATGTCCGTTTGGCTGGAATGTGTTAAGGCCCCTGTGCAAAATGTATAGCAAAATAAGACCTTCTTTTGCGAAATGAACAAATTCGCCCAAATTAGTGCGCATGTTAATCTTGATGAAACCGAACGTACTTTTCGGATTCTTCTGACTCGAGCTGTGCACACCACTTGAGATGTGCACAGGTATATTTGCCTCTTTTTTTGTGTAAGCCAATGTCTGACACATTTTTAAAGAAACGGCTCCCGTAACACACATTCGGAACTGTGAGCAATTTAGAAAAAGCTTCATTTTTTTTTCCTGAAAAGATGAATTTCGCTGATGGCCACCCTGATCTCAATGTCTCCATGCTATGAAGAAACTTGTTGAAATGTCCTCTTGGTCTTGTCCAATGGACATTGATATTCTCGACATTATTTGTCGCTGGCGTTTAAACAGTGATATCCTCGTAGTTTATGATTGGTATTTCCTGTGATAGTTATCTGATTAATACTGACTAGTCCATTATACTTGTGAAGAGAATATAATTACTGACAGAGTCTTCGTTCGTTGCACTTGAAGTCTTCTTCCTTCTTATTCTACTTGTTATGACTATTTCCTTTCCCATTTATTTTTAGCTGATAAAGGCGCACCTGATGATACGTGAAGACGCAAGAATTATTAACTTATAAGGTATGTAGTTACACATGTCGGAAATATATGCAATCTTCTGAGGAAAAAATAATTTAAAAAAAAGTTAAGTATACGTTGAAATATAAAAAATAAAAATGACAGAAAACGAAAAAAGGAAAGAAGAGAGGGAGAAAGAGAACAAAAACAAGTGATTAAAATTGAAGATGAAAGGCGGGATAAAATGAACAAAGAATAGGAAGATAAAGTAAGTGCAAAACATGAAATTTCAAAATGTGAGAATTAAAATAACAAACGTGGTTAGGGTAAGAAAATAACAAAATAAAAGAAGGAAAACAACGAATAAAATGGAAAAATCGAAAGAAAAACTGACAAAAGAAGACGAATTGAAAATGAAAAAGAAACAATTTTTTTCAAATATCTACGAAAGAGAGGAATAGTGAAAGAAATTTTTAAAAATCAAAAACAAAAAAAAATAAATGAGCAGTGAGAAAGTAAACAATGAAAATGGCGAAGGAAAAATCGACTAAATTAAAAACGTTCCAAGAGTCATAAATAAATGATCGTTGGTGTACTATATGTACCAAAGCCACAGCAACCGTGTGACACTGAAAACAAGGCAGCTCGATGAATTCCAACATTCTTCATGATGATTTCGTCTTCAAAGTTTTCCTTCTCCTAAACTGGTTACCACCTCAGTCCCAGCCAGCTTTGCTGTTTAACCCAACACTGGGAAGAGACGAAATGGATTTGTACCTTTTTTTTGCAGGAAAGTAAATGTAATGAATTCGGTGAGAATTCGAACTCGGTTCGCCGATTTCACTTGCCAAGTCAATTACGGTTAAACCATCCGCACACCCGATAAATAAAAAAACAGGAAGGAATAAAATGAATAGTGAAAGTGAATAAAAAAAAAGGGCGAATAGAGCAAAAAAAAAAAAAATGAAAAAGAAAAGAAAAGAAAAAGACAGAAAGCATAACTTCAACGACAAGGGGAGAAGCATCAAGGAAGGATTCAGTGAACAAAAGAAAAAAGGGGACCAAGTACTGATAAACACCGACAAACTGCAGACAGAGTGAGAAAACAAGTAACCAGACAATATGGATTCAAGGTTGCATTTTTCCCTGTCGTAATAAAGGGTGCAAAAATATAAAATAATGACACCAATAGCAACAAGAAACAAACAAACAAACAAACAAAAAAAAACGGAAATAGCTATTTCGACCTTACGGAAGGAAAGGTCACGTGATTTTTAACGGACACGATTTTGCTGAGTAATTTTTCCTTTTAAATTCCTTTACGTTTATTCGTACTTTTGAGTTGGAGAAAAGATATTTTTTTCTTAAATCAAGGTACAAACACATACCCAGACTTAACGACATATTCGAACTCTCTCACCCACAGACATGAACATAAAAAGAAGTATCAGAAATCCAAACTGTTCCATAAATAACACAGACACACATTCTTGAATGTATTCACTGTACTTATCTACAAACACCCAAAGTTCAGACTTATAGCTTCACTGATCCACACACGCGTCATCACACCTGACTAAATAAAATATTAACATTCTTTAACTGCTGTTCATAAATACAGTTATTGATCGGATACGGAAATAATTATTATTATTTTCCCCTTTTATTTGACATTTATCGGACGCATTTGACATTCATGCATCAAAAAAAAAGTTTTAAACCTTTTTTGAAAGATATGTTAATGTATTTAAGGAAACATCGCACTTTTCAATTATAATGAAACTTAAAATAGAAATTCTACAATTGATGAAACTTTGTGTTCTAAATATTCAAATAAAGAGAAGATTGGAATGGTTGGTGAAGATAAATTTGCTTCGCTATTCTGATATAAGCATTACTTGAGTCGCGATATGGTAACAATATTGTTCATGAGTGAAAACAGACAAGGACCTATATATATATATATATATATATATATATATATATATATATGTGTGTGTGTGTGTGTGTGTGTGTGTGTGTGTGTGTGTGTGTGTGTGTGTGTGTGTGTGTTTTGAAAAGTGTGTGTATATAAATATCAATATATATATGCATATATATATATTATAATTATTTATATATTATATGCGCGGTACTTTGTCTGACGATCGCAAAAGCGTCAAATCTAGGGTCACAAACTCACATCAATGCAACCAAATATATATATATATATATATATATATATATATATATATATATATATATATATATATTTAAGAAAAAATACTTTATCTACATATTTACAGCGCTTGAATTATACAAATATTTGTTCATACAGCGAACCGAATACATATTAAAATACATAGAAAAGAGAAGTGAACTAGGGTCTTACTTGTGAGTTGACTTTGTCTTGCATTACATGTAAAAAAAAAAAACTTTAATTAGACAATGGTTAGTGCATGCAGCGACCCGAACGCATATTAAAAGATATAAAAAAGAGAAGTAGACTAGGTTCTTACATGGGAGTTGACTTTGTCATGCATTGTCAGAGGGATGAATTTTGCCATAAAAAGCGAAATAAAATGGAAGTCTGAGTAGATGTGGTATCGTTTTGAGAGATTGGCACCAACTGGTCAGGTAACTTATATTTCGCACCACTGACCAACCTGTCACATGACAAATTTCTTACCTTCTGGCATGTGCATAAATTATAGCTAAGTTAAGGGAAGATAATTCAATTTTGTAATGTTCACGAGAAGTTCCTGAAAATCAAGTGAAGTTAAGAATGAAAAGATGTGTTTTCTTATCGTAAATTTGATTTCACAACCGCAAAATTCAATACGATCAAAGAAAGCGGCGTAGAAACGGTATGAGGAAACAAAGTAAAAATTTGCATAAATAAAATATAAACAAACAGCCGCGTCCAACTCTCAGTCTTTCCCCAGAAAAAACTAGGAAAGGGCCGATGTCCGTTCATAATGGAACGAAAAGTAAAATAAGGTCACAACGAAATAAAATTTTATAAAATAAAAATTTATTTCCAGAGAGTACGAAATGTTATTCGTGCGATAAAAATAGACAGACTAAAAGAACATTTATAAAAAATTTTTTTGTTATATACTGTCTTCTTTTAATACTTTTTTCCCTTCAGTCAGCAAGAGCTCCTACAACCCTTCTGCCCATCTCTACATCACGACACGTGGCTCTCTAATCTGCCTGTCAGCATCTCCACCTGACTGTTACTCTGCTTATATACACTTACGATCGGAACTTGATAACTGCCGGCCAAGTGGCACTTGATCCCGAAAATATCCATTTATTTATTTGTTTCAAGTCTGTTTGGCCAGCGAGTAACTATTTTAAAAATCTTATTTACTAGACTTTACTGCTGGTCATAAAACACCAGATACTTCGGACTGAGATAAATTCACGGTCTACTTTTCTTCATGACCGGGTTCCATAGTGTTACAAAAAAGCTGTATGAAAATATCGTCTAAAAAGGAGCCGGCCGTAGTCGGGATCATTGAGTCAAACCGAACAATAAATTCCTTATCTACATAGTATGTGCTTCACCGGGGCTACATACAAATATCGCTTACATTGAATATATGATGCTTCTTTTTATGCAATTCTGATTATTTTAAAACAAAATAAATGAATAATAGCTCTGGTCAATGAAATCTTTCTGACATTAACATGCACAGCTACCTTGGATCTTTGTCGGAGAACCTGACCGGAAGTTTACACTTCCGCTTCGGTGCAAATGTCACCCGGACATTAATCCGGTAGTGTTAACAAAGAATTCAAATAAAAAAAAATAATTTTAAGACCGTTTAAGAACATTCCTGTTGACTTGATCAATTCACAATATGGTTCGAATTGGCCTACGTCAGATGGAGGGTGACATTCGCCAAGTTCGGTCGCTTTGTTTCAATTAATGCATTCACGCTGTTTCACCCAAATTAACGACTAACACTATAGCTCAAAGATAATTCTCCAATGGCTTTTCTTTTCTTCACGGATATTTAATAATGTATTTACGCACTAAATTATGTTAGATAAAAAACGCTGTTATGGCATCATGTACATATACCATTATTAACCACTCATGGAAAACTGTTCAAAAGTTTGTATATAAAATTTGTTTGTTGACTAAAAACACCCACTTCCTTATTTTATATTAAGT